GCTACTGAGGAAGAAGGTGGGAACAAGGACTTCAGAGAAGAGAAAGCAAGAAGGACCTATACCAAAAGCCCCTCCACACACACATACACACCAGACCAAAAGAAGAAAAGGGGGGGGGGAAGCAGAGGAAACAAGCAACAAAGCCTCACACACCCCAACTCCCCCCAAAAAGAGAAAAAGAAGACAAGAACAGTGAAGGATGGATAGAGAGAGAAAATTAAAGTAAAAGAATAGATTTTTAAAAAAACAAGCCCCCCCAAGAACAAAAAAATGAATAAGTTAACCAAGTTTTAAACCAACTCCAGAGAACCAAAGTCAAAAACCAAAAGCAGAAGGAAGGAACCCTTGGCCTTCCCTCCCCCACAACTTGCCACCAGGCCCAAACAACAACAAAACTCCACAAAAATAACTGCAAGCCACAAAACCAGGAGGAACTGAAAACGAAGAATAAAACAGAAGGGAACCGAAAAGGACTGAGGCCCTTGCCCCCCCACACACACACATGCACACAGCCTACCACCCACCAAGCCCAAAGAGTAACTAACAGTAAACTAAGAAAACCTTTTTAAAAAATGTTGTTCAGTCCAACCAGTCGCTGTCTTCACTCTTCTCCAGGCAGGCGGGATCTGAAGTCCTCAGCAGAGTCTCCCAGGCAGCGGGTGTCAGACTCAGAGCAGCAGCTGAAGCCAGAGCCAGTGCACACTCTCAGCAGTGGAGTCTAGCTCAGCCAGACCCTTGCTTTTATGCTCTTTGCCCATGCACAGAAGAATTTCAAAAAAACCAAGCTTCTGTGACTGGCTGAAGAGCAGTGTTCCCCCCGACCTGAAATCCTATTTGCTAGATTGCCACTGCTCCTTCCCTCCTCCCTCCTGTTCCTTTGGAAATGGGTGGGAAAAGGAAGGTAGTTACTTAGTTGGACTTCACATTTGAAGCCAACAACCTTGCAAGTTGCAAACCTGCAACGCAGTGCCATTTGCAAAAGCACAGCAATGTCTGGCTCGAAGGCACTACGGCTCCCCCTAAGGTGCTTTTGCTATTGGGCTGCATAGATGCCTCTTTCCCCGTCCCTCCTGTTGCCTTGGAAATCAAGGCAAGAGGCGGGAAAGAGCCCTAGAGGAGAGAACTGAAAGTTAACTTTGTAGCCCTTTAAACCTCTCCACCACCAGGTATTGCCGAATATACCCGGAAAAAAGTGAAAAAAATTCAGCTTTATTCCAGATCAGCTATACTCATAGCTGGTCAGATTCTCTGATCTGTATTCGGCTAAAAAAAATAACCCCCAAATACTGGTAAGGTATTTTCCGGGTATTTTTTTGGGCTTGGATACAGCCAGATGTGCACCCCTATCTGGTTTCATTCTTCATATAGAAATAGTTCAGTTTAAAAAATAATGGAGTGGTGCAAGCAAGAAAGGCCTTCAACACAGAAGAACTAGAATGACAAAGAGCGAGGTTCTAGCCACACTTCTAGTCCCTTATGTTGTCGTTTTCCATACACAAGGAATTGGCTGTTTGTTTGTGTGAAGAGGGCTGCGGTGGCTCAAGTGGTTAAGACGCTGAACTGCAGACTGGAAGGTCAGTAGTTCAGCCGTTCGAGACCTGAGTGCTGCATGATGGAGTGAGCCGTCTGTGGTCCCAGCTCCTGCCAACCTAGCAGTTCAAAAGCAAGAAATGGCAAGTAGATAAACAGGTTCCACTTTGGTAGGAAGGTAACAGCGTTCCGTGTGCCTCGGCGTCTAGACATTCCAGCCACATGACCACGGAAATGTCTCTGGACAGCGCTGGCTCTTTGGCTTGGAAACAGAGATGAGCACCGCACCCCTAAAGTCAAATTCGACTGGCTTTTGAGCAAGGGACAACTTACCTTGTGTGAAGAAGCATTCCATAGTGTACCCCGCCACTTGCAGTCTAAAGGGGTACACCCAGTCTTCGTAAGAACTAGGCCTTAACTGAGGACCACTGATTGGCAGTGCCAGTTTCCTCTTCCTTCCTCCCACCATCATCACACCTTCTCTGCAATTACGTTTTGTTGGTTCCCAGTTGTCCGTGTATGTAACTCAGGGTGCAATTCTATGCACAACCAACTGGTAAATAAGCACAATTGAACACTGTGAGAATCACTTATATTTATTCATTTATATATGTATTTATTTATATATGTACTTCATTTATACTCCACCTTTCTCCCCAACAGGGACTCCTGATGGCTTACATAATTCTCCTCTCCTCTATTTTATCCTCACAACAACCCTGTGAGGAAGGTTCGGCTGAGAGGGTGTGATTGGCCCAAGGTCACCCAGCGAGCTTCCGTGGCGGAGTGGGGTCTCCCGGATCCTGGACCGACACTCTAACCGTTGCACTGCTCTGTTTCTCAGCCAGCAGGCTTTCACAGAATTGCACCATTAGTTACTGAACTGATTTTGGTAGGGAACGGCACCAGAGGGATCAATATGTTATCTGCTCTGGGGCAGGAAGTAGGCCACGGGATCAGCTGTTAATGAGCACGGACATTAGTGGGAGGGAGCAGAAAAGCAGGAAAGGGCCCTTGGCAGCAGGAGGTGGCCTGAGCCGGCCATGTGGTGGGAATGTCACATCCCTGGGAAGCAAAGTCACAGCTCAGTAAGTCTCCAAGTCGTTCTGTCGAGAAGATTAAATCCCCGGTTTAATGTGTCTCCTCCTCCTCCTCGGAGAGAGCGAGAGAGAAGTGCAGAGGCCTTTGGATATTTGGTAAAAGGGGCCCCAGTGCTGGTGTAAAGAATCCCAGGGGTCCAGTCTCAGGACAGACTTCTGTTGCTGCGTTGGAGCCAGAGTGGGAGGTGCCAGCGTCTCCCGTAGTAGATCTACGCAGGGGATCCTTCAGCAGGCAAAAGGGAGAGATGTCCCAAAGAAATAGTTTTAGCCCATTGTGGAGAGTAGCCGTGTTGGTCTGCAGTAGAAAAGTTCGATTTGAGCCCAGACGCAAAGCTCCCTTCGTCTTTCATCAGATCTGAGTTGAAATGGAGAGCTCTTAGTCTTTATATCCCAGTC